ACACACACACACACACACACACACACGCTGTGGACCTGCGCTGGGAGCACAAGGGAAACTTCTCTGGCTGGTGTCTGGATTGTTAATCTGCCCCAAGATTCCTGGTATCGGGAATAACTCCAGTTCCCAAACACAAAAACTGATATAAAACTCATCCCAGCACCTCAATCTCTTTGAAAGCAACATTTTTCGCTTTAGGCAAAACCAAAAAAGAAAAAAGAAACGCTGTCCAAAATTCACGTAAATGACAGATCTCATTTAAGAGCAAGGCACATATTGCACGCTTGGGGCTGGAAACCACAGTCGGGACAAACCAAATGCGCTACCAGATGGGCTTAATAACGGCGCAGTGCATGAACAGGATTGCTATCGCCTAAGCCAAGCCGAGCCTGCCCGCCCAAGGAGGTGCCTGTGACGTCCGTGTTGCTGCATTTAGCATCTCAGCAAAATAAGTTTGGGTTGGTTTCTCTGGAAGAAGATGAAGGGATTCCCCCCCTTTCCCCATTTATTCTGTAAATATCTCCTGGGCAAGTGCTCTGGTAAAATGCCTCAAACAAGACTTTTGCAAGACAGGCAATATTTTTGCCGAGGTCAAGGTTCGAAAAACATGACCTTTGTCTCCCTTCCCATCCATCCTCTGCGTTCTGCCCTCTCCGCTTTCAGACGTGATTAATTCTTCGTTTTGCAGAACAGAACTTCCAGATGTTAAACCATCGTCAGTGCCTTCGCAAGCCCAGTCTGGGGATGGTCAGGCACGCCCTAGCTTGTCTCGGGTTCAAAGTCACGCCCTGTCCATTCAGTGTAGCCTCCTTCGGGGTAAGCGGAGTGTCTGCAGCCAAGAACACGCTGCGGGCACTGAGAGTCTGGAAGGCACAGGCGCCCTGCGGTGGGAAACAGGAGCCAGGAAGGCTGCACCTTGCGGCCCAGTGGGGCGGAAACCTCCTCCGTAGGAGTCGCTGCTGCTCGGGAACAACAGCTCCGGCTGCTGGCCTTGGAGCCATCCGGAGATAACTTGACCTCTCCTTCCCCTCCACCCTCTTGGGTCCGCTGAGGATTGGTTAAGAAGCGACTCCTCCCCTTGCTCTGGCGCCTCCACGGGGTGTTTGGGCCCCCAGCTGCCCTGGGCCTCCTCTCTGGCAGGAGCACACCAGCCCCTTGCAGGCACGTTCCCAGGGGGTGCTGCTAGCATTTGGCCGCGCTCGCTTCTCTTTCAACCTTGGTCTTGGCCTGCACCCCAACTGGGCGGTCGGTACAGTAAACCCCGTGGCCTGTGCATTCTTTCCAGCCCCCGCTGCTTTGCCCTTGTGCCTCTTCCCTGGCTCAGCTCAGATCCCCAAAGCCCAGTGGATGTCTGCTGGCCTACAAAAGAGCAGAGCGCGCTGGAATGCCAGCATTGCCCCAGCCTTTTAGCAGTGGTCACACCGGGAGGCAGATTTAAACCACAGAACCACACTCATCGCCCTGGAGTCTTTGTAGACGCCTGTGGACCCTAGAGGGACTGGGCCAAACTGCCCCCTGTGAGTTTCCTATAGGGACCGGGTCCTATGCCCCGTCAGTTTCCTAGACTGTAAGAGCTCCCTCTTTCTCCCTGGGAAAGGATGGTGGTTTCGAACCACTGACCTTATGGTTAGCAGGCCATTGTGTGACCACTATGCCACAAAGGTAACGCTCAGTGCTGGCTTGCTGGAAGCATGGATAGATGGATGGAGCTGTCAATATAATCCCTTCTGGTTTTGCCATCATTTTCGACTCCGCTTCTTGGTTTCGAGTGCCAGCATCTCTGATTCCACATCTTAGGCCAACTGCTGACCCACAGTGGGTCCCCGACTATGAGTCTGTCTGTGTTCCAGACTGATGGAAAAGGTCTCGCTCTTCACGCAACCTGTCAGTGGACTGAATACTTTAGTTTGTTTGGTCATAGGAGGTGGGTAGACTTTGCCAACTGCATACCCTGACTCAGCTCTCAGGTCCAGCTGGCACCGGATGCGTCTAACCCCATTTAAAGAGGGTCTCGATTCACGTTCTGTGTGTGCGACAGAAGGTGCGGGGTGCACTGACAACCCTTTGGTTTTAACGGGTTCTTGGAAATGTTTCCAGAAGGTTTTGCTTTCCTCTGTAGACATTGTCCTCTCCTCAGTCAGCGGGGGACTGAGGGACATGGTTTATTCTTTCTCTGACAGCTGGCTCTCCTCCCAGCCCCCTGGTCAACCTTTTGCACATTGGTTATTTTAAGGTACAGTGGGAAGGGCGTGAGGGGTGGAAGGAATGCGCTCACGGTGGCTGCTGTTGATGGGGAGTGGTATGAGGTAATCCGGAAATAGTCACACGTGGCCAGGTGGCCCATTAGAGGCTGCTTTACCCTGACTTCATAGGTGGTGGTGGTGATCACTCGATGTTTTGGAGCAAGGGAATGATGCAAGAGCTGTGTCCCAGGAAGGGGTGTGACTGTTGTGCACAGAGTGCGGGGCCTCTGTGCTTGTCCAGACTCCCCTGCCAACCGCAAGCCAGACGTGCGAGTACAGAAGAAGGTCCAGCCATCTCCCTCTGAAGAGTGTGCCTCTAAAAACACTGCAGTCACAAGATCAAACGTCGCACTGCATTGGGCAGATCTGCTGCGCAGTGCCTCGTGAGAGTTGCAAAGCAAGGTGTTACTTTGAGGACTAAGGCACGCCTGACCCGAGCCATGGTGTGCTTCATTCCATCATATGCATGTGAGAGTTGAACGCTGAATGAGGAAGACCTAAGAAGAATGGATGCATTTGAAGTATGGTGCTGGAGAAGAGTATCGAATGGACTGCTAAAAGGATAAACAAATCTGTCTTGGAAGAAGTAGGGCCAGAGTGCTCCTTAGAGGCAAGGATGGCAAGACTTCGACTCATGTACTTTGGACCTGTTGTCAGGAGAGACCAGTGCTTGCAGCAGGACATCAGGCTGGGTAAAATAGAGGGGCAGCGAAGAAGAAAAAGGCCTTCCAGGAGGGGATGGACATGGTGGCTGCAACAATGGATGGTGCAGGGCCGGGCAGGGGCACCAAGTCGACTTGATGGCAACTGGATTTTTTGGAGAACAGTCTACAGACAAGTTAACTAGGGTAGGCACGGAAAGTGGGCAGACAGATAGAGGTGGGTGGGAGATGCTACTGAGCCTCAGGCTTGGGGGATGGGCAAGATAAGGGACGATGGGGAAGTGAGTTTAGAACTTGGAATTGGGACCGAGGTTTGAAAATCATGTGTGCACGGGTGATTGTTCAAACTCTGGCTCTTCCTTTCCCTTGTGTTTGACTCAGGGGTTCGTCTCCCATGGCTGTTTTCCTCTCTCTGAACAACACCTCTGGCCCTGGCTTTGGGCTACTGTCCCACATGGAACTGAGAGTAACATCCAGCAGCTGCTGCTCTTCTGGCTGTTGGAAGTGGACACAGACGCCGCCCATTCCGTCAGCACTGCCCAGCTCTTTGTTTCGTTTCAGTAAACGCAGTTATGTCTGTTGGCTTGTGGTACCCGTTCCGGTCGAGCAGCATCCTTGCCCATTATGAACAGGGCATATGCTAAGCCAGAGATAATATCCCCCACGCTCTGACTGGAGGACGGCGTTGCGGTCAGGCGTCTTGCGATCGGTGTCCCCTGTTTGTCTCATCTCTGGTTGGCCCTCGCTGTTGCCAGGCTGATTCTGTTTTAAGCAAAAGTTGAAAGTCAGTATGAACTGGTTATACCAGACTGCCTTCTTACAAAACAAAAAGATGATCTCTCCTGATTCATCTTCCTGTGGCCGTTTCCAAACCACACCGCCGCGGTGGTATGAATGTGCAGCTTTGTGTGCAATAAGACCGTGCAAACGTTGTGTGTGCTGCTGGGGAGATGGTTCCCGCATGTGGCCTGAAGAACAAAGGAGAACGCTTCCCCGCGGGGAGAAGTGGGCATCAGGGAAATCCTCTTTGTGGACAGGTCAATGGTGCTTGCACTCTGCCTAATTTTACACATCTTTATAGGATGCTTAATTAAGTGGGATTCTGTAGACGCCTGGTAGACTGAGCTGGGAAACAATACATGACCCGCTCTGACTCACTGCTTCCTGCTGTCCTGGGCTCAGCAGGAGCGAGCATGGAGTACTCGTCGGGAACAGAGACCCCTGTGGTGAGCTAAGGCGCCCTCCAAAGCCCCCTTGTTCAGCCTCCTCTTTCAAGACTCCCGATGAGTCCAGACCAGCCCTGGCATAGGAAGCCGGAAACTCGCACCCTGCCAGCCTCCTGCGGCCCTCCTTCCATTCCGGCCTGGCCTGTGCTCTCCAGATCAGCAGAGAGTATACTCAAGCTGGTGGGGAGGGAATGAGAAGGAGGCAGCGCCCCAGCCAGCCCCCAGAAGGGGAACAGATACAGTGAGCGTAGCGGTTGCTGGAAGTCTGAGGCTGCCAGCTGCCGGGCCCATTTGTTGATGGCTCATGCCATCCTTCAGTTGGCATCCCTGCTGCCAGGAACCACCCGCTTCTTTTTCTGTCTGAAAGCAGGGGAAGGGATGGCAGTGGCTTTAACTCTTCCTGCCCCAAAGCCTGGGACGCCTTCCCCACTTGCGTCTCACGTCAGTCAGTCTCGCAGCACACACAGGTAGACGTGGAAGGGGCCCGAGAGAACGTTTAGGAAAAGAAAAGCCGAAGCTGGGCTTCTGGATCTGTCAGCCCGGGTTGTTTGCTTTCTATAAGGAGCCCTGCTCTCTCGCCTGCAGCCAGCTTACTGGTCTGCATAAACCAGCCAACCACACTGCCATGGAGTGGATGTCCACTCCTCACGCCCCTATAGGACAGGGCAGAACTGGCCCTGTGAGTCTCTGAGACTGTAACTCTTTATGGGAGTAGAAAGGCCCGTTTGCTAACCTTGAGAACGGCATCTCAATTCATAACCATCACGCTACCTGCATGCTCACTGGCATGTCAGCAATGTTATGCAGCGCTAGTGCAGGGCCAGAGAAGCTTTTGGAGTTAAAGACCCATGCGGGAGACCCCGGTTCCATTCCCAGGCAATATATCCCGTGCACAGCTGCCCTCCCCAACCTGCTAGTGGTGGTCTGTCTGTGTTCTGATGCTGAAGTCATTCAGTCGTAGTGCTTCCAGACTAAGCCGGACTAGGAAGCAAAGCTGGCCAGTGAAAACACTATGGCTGCCAGCCGCACATGGGGTTGCCAGCCCAGTGACAGCTAAGAGCCACCACCCAGCCATTGGAAGCACGCCTGGTCCATGATAAGTACCACGGGTTCGTGGCTGTGGCTACTACCCTCACGACTATTCATCATTGAAACTCAGGTGCTGAGCTTCACGTAGATGCTCTTTCACGAGAACCCATGCACGACAGCGTATGTGACAAACCCACCGACCTGCGCTTGGAAAAAAACAGAAGCGCGTTTCCCACAGAGGACCGTGTTGGGGCTGGTTACGCTGGAGCTGGTGCGGACGGTGACCGCTGTATGCCAGAGGAGGACTGCTGTGACCTTTTGGAGGCAGGTCCTCGAGCCCGTCTGCCAAGGGGCCTCTGGGTGGGTGTGTGCCCCCACCCTTTCAGCTCGTAGCCAAGTACTGGATTGTTTACACCACCCCAGGGACTCCTTGGAGGCCCTGATTTCTTGGAAATGTTCTGTCACGCTTAGAAAGCATTCTGCTTTGTGGTTGCGTCTTGGCTAGGGGGTCGGAAACCCTCAAACCAAACTCACTGCCCTCAAGTCGATTCCAGCGCTGCCCTACAAGACAAGGCAGACCGGCCATCGAGTGTCCGAGCCAGCATATCTTTCTCCCAGGGAGCAGCTGGCAGGTTTGAACTGCTGACCTTTTGGTTAGCAGCCTAGCTCATACCGCACGGTGTCACCGGGGTCCTACTGGCCAGGGGGTAGGGGACTCTACGAACCTGAGAGCTTCCTTCTCTAACTCCCGAGGGTGGTGCGAGAGGGGGGGGCGGGACTTTGCCACCCGGATTACTTGAAGTAGCCAATGGTTTTCTGTGGAGTGCAATCCAAGTATTATAGCAAAACCGGCTTCTTGAGCTGGAAGACAAACACACAAACCTGTGGACCTCGATCCCAGAAAGGGGATTGTCCTGGGACCCTTCGCCTTCCCCCTACCAACGCACCTCCATCTTCCCGATTCCATCATTGCATGCAGGTTACATCCTCGTCTCGTGTGGTCTCAAGGTTGACCTCACCTCTGTTCCTGGGAACTTTCCTGAGCTCCCTGTCATCCCCACAGCGTCCATCCTCTTGGCTGGAGTTTGC